GAAGGCTGTTCGACCGCTACGACAAACGTATTTCCAATAATACGCGTTAACCGTTTGAAATATCAAAAAAAGTTTCAAACAAAAGTTGTTTAAAAATGGGAAATATATACTTTTTCTGCGAGATATTTGATTAATTATTGTTAATTACCGAGATTATTAAGAAGCATTTTTAAAAGGGCTTAGAAGAGGCGGAAGAAGTATAGATTTTCCATTTTTAAACAACTTTTGTTTGAAACTTTTTTTGATATTTCAAACGGTTAACGCGTATTATTGGAAATACGTGTGTTGTAGCGGTCGAGCCCTGAAGATGCCGAATAGGCGAAACCGATAAAAGCTGATCGGTATACAATAAAATCCGTTGTTTAAGTGCGAAAACCAGTCTTTTTTATTTACAACAATGGAAAGAAAAGAAAATTTAAACAATAACATTTAAAACTATATTTGTTGAATTATTCAAAAATTGCACTCTTTGTTTTCCAGATTGTTTTATAAATATTCAACACGAGTAACTGTAACTATAACAATATCAAGAACACTTAAGTACATTCGAAATCGTCCCAAACTTTTCCATACATTACTATTATATCAACATAAAATTAGTTTTCCTATTGTGCATTAAAAATTAATGTTGTAAAATAATAAAGATTTGATGAAATAAATATTGCGTAATATTAAGGAGAAAATTGATTAAAAACTTGAAAAGATAACGTGATATTACGTAATATAAGCTGGTGGCAATGTTGACACAAATATGAAAACGTCGTTTGTTTGGCGTCGTGTACGAAAACAAACATTGTTTCGAGGTAGTTTTGCCTTTTCGGTCGTTTCAATTGGTGACCCGTGGAAATGTAATCGCATAACGAGGCGATAAACTTATCGATATTCCCCAATATTTGCATTTCCGGCGCGGCGCGTGCGTTATTTTATTAATTTATAATTGGCGAGTAGTACGTTAACATGATCGCTTATCGTGATTTACGCAACATTATAGGTCGCTATGGGTGAACGAGAAACCTCCAATTATGCCCAACAGGAAATGCATCACTTTTGGTTTTTGATAATGTTTGATTGCGTCGTTACTCTTTTGTACAATCAGCATTATTTCTCTTAGTAACTAAATTTTTGCTTTTGTTTGCATAAACTCGAATAACCCATAGTGTACGTGATCAAACTCACATGTCACTGTCATATTAAATTTGTTTATTTTTCTTAAAAGAAGACATTAAAAAATTTTTTATTTGTATAAATGCATGTAATTGACGTAAAGATGCTAAAACTAAAGCAAAACATTCTGCAGCGCAAACAAAAAAAGATGATAACACCAAATATTGATTACATTGAATGAATTTAAATGAATGAAATAAGTAATGCTGATTTAGGTTTTTTGATTCCATCCGGGATATTCTATTAATAAATTTCAAAGTTCAAAAAACATTGATTGAAATAAATGCTATTAAATAATTAAAATTGCCTTGGGCAATAACTAGAATATTGACAATAGACACATTTATGTATGGAACAATTTGGATTGTTCGGAGTAGGTTATCGTATATCGATAAAAAAAATGTTATCTTATAAGTACATACTTGATATTGAAAAATCCCAAATCATCAATGAATTGTTGTATATTATTACTTTTTCCTTCTTATTGTTCGCTTTACTTTGCGTGGAGAGAAAGAAAAAAAAACGTAAATACAGCTGTAATATCGCTGTTGGCCTCGCCTTGGGTACTTAAACGGCGTTATTGCCAGCTGATAACCTAAATTTATTGCTATTGTGTATTCTTTTTCACTTCGCATTAATTTATTACGCTACGTTCAAGTTGTAAAATTATTATCGATTAAATGTTTATAATATGTACATGTAGGAGTTTTGTTTCTGCTCCCATACTCCCAATACAAAAAAAAATCTTGATATAAAGAATTAAGTTGTATGGGAAAAAATATTTGCCTTTATTGGACTCTGTCCAAAGAAGTACTCGTCGAAGGAGATATTGTTGTTGGTATTACGTGTCGGAGAATTGTTGTATTACCTCGTAAGCAAGGCTAAATTACGCATGGCAATAAGGAACTGCATAAGGTCCTCGCATGGCCATGGCGAAAACGCACTTAGCGCATTGAGCGTCCTCGATCTTTCGGATTTATCGTCAACATCAAGTTGGGAAAATTGCAAAACATTTTTTTTTTGTAACAGGATGAGGTCTGACTGTTATTGGGTAAAACGAAAAGACAAAAGCTTGGCGTTCTCATTACGGTTAAAAATACCGTTTGCTTGTTAAATAATTATTGGTGCATGTCACCCAATGTGGTTGCAATTATCTCGCCGAAATTTTGTTGTAATTAGATTTGACCGTTTTTACTCGCAGTGTATTAAATGTTATTATCAGGAACAAATTATAAAAATAGATTTTTCCACTTTTTTGTATGAATAATCGATTTAATAATTAATCGAATAATAAACTACATTATCAATTAATAATGTTTCGTATTTTATTTGTTTCCTGATTTGTTTTTAATTTCGTCAGAGACATTTATTGTATTATTTATTATTATATCCACGCGCTTGACAAACAAATAAGATAATTTCGATTTCTAAGTAATTCTTTTCTAATCACTATAAATACCTCATTTGAATACATACAATATTGTTTTTGTTTTTATTTTTTGATACTATAAAAAATAAATATACATAAAAAAATGACGGAATTACGGTTTTTGTTATTTTGTTCGATTAATACCAACAGAGTTGTACGAAGCGTTAACAAACCGACCTGGATACTAACTGGGTCACAGTCACACTAGAAAGATTGCCAGAAAGAGAGGGCAACATCGAGCGGCCGCTCTTTTACCAGGCCACGTTCAATGTCGACTTAGAGAAATTCAATACTGACCTAAGCTACTCATATAACTAACTATCATACCATTTGGATACAAAATTTCTATCAAAAATGAACGATATCACAAATTAATGTTATTTCTTTCTGATCGCCTTTAGACTTTTTAGATCGAAATCAAACGTTAAGGTTGTCATGTGTTGAGATAAGGTGCGGTGATGGAAGTTGAAAACGTGCAAAAACGGATTGGAAAAACGTTATAGAGATATGCCAAGGTTTGCAATGAACGGTTCGTTTCAAATTATTCAATCCCTTCAGATTTCAAAAGTAAAGTGGCACTAGTAATAATAATAATGGACGGATAACGGGCATCGGAGCTAACCGCATTGAGTAATCGCCTCGAAAAAAATACCGCCTGGCTAAATGAACGGTAATAATAAGCGTTGTTTTCTCACGTGGTCGATACCGAACACGTGGACGAGAATCCGCGGGCCACGAGGTCTGCGTTTTGTACCTCGTGAGCGACGTCGTTTCCATTTCTTGCCATCGTTACGCAACTAGCTATTGGCGATTAATACACCCTTATTTACGTAACTAATAGAGTCTCAGAAAATTAATCCAATTTATTAAAAAAAATTTTTTCGCAGAAACATTTTTAATGATGTTTCTTTGTCCCGTTTGTTGGCATTTAGCATTGCTCAATGTGGCGTCGATGACTTAAGCATTTGTCGTCGTTGTTGTCGAAGGTTAAGGTAGTAGTCATCCTCAGTAAATGGCATCCTCATAAGTCTCGCAAAGTTTTTTTTTACCTCAGGAAAGTACCAGGCGATCGAGAAAGAAAATGCAGAAACAAAGAAAGAAAGGAGTGACATAGAGGCCGATAGTATGCGCAACGATCCACGAAGTCTCTATACGCGCGACAACCGAAGCCGGTTGCATAATAACCGTAATATACGTGTGTTCCGACCATGTGAACGAGCGGCGAGCAAACGTGACTACGAACTGAGCACTCTAGTTGCTCACGTGGTTTCGCCTACTTTTTCATGTCCGTTAGATGAAAAGGCATAACAGGATATATTTTCACTCTCGTACGAACTTGACATTTCGACGTTTCTATACACGCTATATTTTTTTAAAACATTGCGACAATTTGTTCATTTTGTGATTTGACTCAATTCATTTATCAAGATCGATTGTCACAAAAATATCAAAATTATAAACATAAATTAATAACATAAAAAAAATCATATTGTTTAAAGATTCCTTTATTTGTAACGATTAGTTTTGTTCCTCGTTGCAAAAGTGAATAGAACGTAGACTGTTAATAACAATAATAACAACGGCTTGTGCACTCGGAGTATTACGATACATTGCTCAACACAAACGGGGTCCGATCTAATATTGTAATACACAACTTATTTAACACTTAGGAAACGCTCTGACCTTCGCGGTTTTCAACCTATTGAGCGCGACGTTTGCTCAATAACTTCGAGAGCGAGCTGAGATCAAAATGCAAAACTTGAAACGGGAGCTGAGATTCTCGAATTAGAGGAGAGGTACTAATTAGGGTTCCGAGATCGGGAACTTGCTCATCGCTGAGATGATGATCTTTCGTAATGATCTTTTCGTTCGAATGGGAAGTCATTGCGCCACGTCATTTAATTATCAAGCTTCCATGTTCCATACAGCGGTTGCTACAACATCTATTGGTTTCACAAGGCTTCTTCGGCACCTTCCCCGTGTAATGCACTTTTCGATGTCGGGCGTCTTCTATCCGGAAAACGGGTGCGTCCTTGGCAACGTCTCTTTATGTCCGTTACAAAACAGATAGTTTTCGTAACTGTTACACCATCAACCCAATGAATCACCAGGCGAAATGTAATGGTATCTTGGAGAAAAGAAAGAGGTGTATTGACCTTAACTCGCCTGTTATAGTTCTTGAGCCGTATACGTAATATTAATATTAATTGATTAAAGTGTTTTTGTGAAAATTATTGTATTACCTTGCACAAATTAGATACTTATTATATTCAAAATTTCCACCGCCACCTAGCGCAATCTATTGGCGAGAATCAAAACAATTTTGATAAGATGTTATCCTTATTATAGTAACCTCACTTTAAACATTTAAGGTTAACTGAACATATTGTTTTGACATTATTAAATGTCCAAAATGGTTTGTTTTCCAGATTTATTCATGTTTCGCAATTTATTACTTAATATCTCGAGATGACGACGTCTTTTAATAAATAACGAAAACTTCCATATTCTCATTATCTTTGAGGAGACAAAGATCAAGGCCTTTTTTATGTGAGCCCGGTCGACTGCGAACATTTGTTTTAGAGTTTTTTTAGCGCCATGGCTCTAAGGACAGTTACTAGGAGGTTAACTCAATTTAATAATGTACAAAATAGTATCCTTTTTGAGTTTCGTTTTTATTATTTACATTATTTTACCTTAACTGATGTAAATAGGATGTTTGGCAACTTCAAATAAAGGAGGTATTTATTTCAAGGTTACCACATATATTATAAGATTTAGTTAAAATTTGTGTTTTTTAGCTACATTTAATTGGGAGGATCCGTTTGATCTTGAATCTCAATTAACACAAGATGAGAAAATCATCAGGGATTCTTTCAAATCTTATTGTGATGAGAAGTTACAACCTAGGATTTTACTGGCTAACAGAAATGAAGGTAATATACAGGATGGTTCAAAAATTTACATTTTATTTGTTATTTCAGCTATAAGTAAACTGCTTGGTTTAAGCAGACCTTATTTTCAAGCATACCTTGAGCGTCTTAGCGCCCTCTAAGGGGACGAAATTAACAACCCCTTTAATTTTTTTTTAACACCATGGAATATTAACATATGAGTTTTAATGCTTCTTTTTTGTCTCTTTAAAGTCAATAGTTTTCGCCTATAAAAATAAAATATCTTGCTTTGTGCCGCCATGTTTATTTAAAATTATTATAAAAGTTAGCTCTGAGTTTTATTTATGTTACATCCTCATAATTGCTGATGATTATTAATAATTTTTGACTGTTAAGTATAAATTTTTTAATATTGTTTAGATATTATTGTTTAAAACACGTTATTTATGGTTTTTGTTATGAAAATCACAATTAATTTATGTTATTTTGTCAGTACTACATACTAGTAAGTTCACAATTTCCATAGCCAGCTATAAAGAAAAAAATTTTTTTTAATAATAGCACTTTTTATGCGAAAGCTATAATCTTATTAAAAACTGAACCACCCTGCATACTTTAATTTTTTTTTTAGTGTTTGATCGAGATATTATGACTGAAATGGGCCAACAAGGCATCTTAGGATGTACATTAAAAGGATATGGTTGTGCTGGTGTATCAAACGTAGCGTATGGTCTAATAACTAGGGAAGTTGAGAAAGTGGATAGTGCTTATAGATCGGCAGTGAGCGTTCAATCGTCTCTAGTAATGGGGGCCATTTATAACTACGGAAGTGATGAACAGAAAGAGAAATACCTCCCCCGTTTGGGTAAAGGAGAAATAATTGGTTGTTTTGGTTTAACTGAACCAAATCACGGAAGCGATCCTGGATCTATGGAAACAAAAGCTAAATATGACCCGACTTCAAAAACATATGTGTTAAATGGGAGTAAAACGTGGATAACTAATTCCCCATTGGCTGATGTTTGTGTAGTTTGGGCTAATTGTGATGGAAAAATTCGAGGTTTCCTCATTGATAGAAAAGAAAACGGGAAAGGTTTAGAAACGCCAAAAATAGAAGGAAAATTTTCTTTGAGAGCATCCACAACTGGGATGATCCTTATGGACAATGTTCGAATTCCGGAGGGAAACGTTTTCCCCAAAGTACAAGGACTTAAAGGTCCATTTGGATGTTTAAACAACGCTAGATATGGGATTGCATGGGGAGCTTTAGGAGCCGCCGAAAGCTGTTTCAAAATAGCCAGGAATTACGCTTTGGAGCGAATGCAATTTCAGAAACCATTAGCAGCCACTCAATTAGTCCAGAAGAAATTAGCTGATATGATGACTGAAATCGCGTTGGGATTACACGCGTGTTTAAGAGTTGGCCGATTAAAAGACGAAGATAGACACACTCCAGAAATGATTTCAATTTTAAAACGTAACAACGCTGGGAAAGCTTTGGATATTGCTAGAGCAGCAAGAGATATTTTAGGGGGAAACGGAATACACGACGAATACCACGTTATTAGACATTTGGTAAATTTAGAAACGGTGAATACTTATGAGGGAACCCACGACATCCATGCATTGATTCTTGGAAGAGCTATAACTGGATTACAAGCTTTCAAATAATTGTTTTGTACGAAACGAGCCAAATAAAATTTTAAAACTAAAATTGGTGCACTCTGAAAAAAGCCACCTGATCCATAATTCCTTTAAATCATTAATAACGTTCGACAAAATAATTACATAACTTCAAATTAACTCTTTTTAATTGGTTGCATTTTTTAATCAATACAAACTTAACTACAATAATCACGCTACTAAAACCTCGTTTCCAGTTTTATTATCATTTTTCTCCTTATCGTCACGCCCAACAGAACAAATATGCCCAAAACCGTAACAACAAGGGATAATAGCCGTGTTAACTATTAAACTGATCGAATTTCTTATAAACCCAAAAATAATCTTAATAATTTTAAACACAGGCATCAAAAACCAAATTTGCTAAAAAATTGATGATTGAGTTGTCATTTTATTATTTATTGTTGTGTTAACTTACAAGAAAAGTAACAAAAGCAAAAACAAATCCAAATGTCAAAGCAAAAATTGGCCCTAAAAATATCGCCATACATCCATAACAGAACTTTTTCGGGCCATTAAAGCAGTAATAATTGATTTTCCATGAAAACTCTGGACTTCTCGTCGTTTTTGGTTCCGCAAAGACATCTTCAAAAACCACGTCGACGTCAGTGTTTATTTCAAACGGATCTCGGGAGTCTTCTTGTTGCATCGTTATCGCATCGAACTCGTTTAAACGACTGATGTGGTTTCTTTAAAGGTTTAAAGTCATCAACAGGTGTTTTATGTATTTACGCCGTCCTTCTAAACAAAACGGTTTAATATTGATTAATTAATTAATTTTTAACTTTCCTTTTTACCATATTTATTGAATTTGAATATGTCATATTGCAAATCATATAATGATACAATATCATTTTTATTTTAACATTTCGCAGACTGCTTTTATAACAGATCTTATAAGTCCGAATATTAATCTAAATTTTTTATAAAATATGATGATAAATTGTATTCAATAAAATGAAAAACACCGATAGGTGATGATGGTAGAGGGGTCCTTATCCCATCCGATGAAACAAAACAATCGGTAACTTAATCGTTATCATCTCAATTCCTGATTTGGTATCTATAAAAATTGGTTTACTCTATATTCCAATACTAACAGTTACTAATAACGTATCACCACCGAGGAAAATGAGAAAAGATGAGTTTGATTCAAGAGATCCAGAGGGTATTCACCGGGATATGACGGTAAATATTTTAAAATTTTTTTATAATTGATTAATTTAGTTAATCTTTATATGTATAGTTAGATATGGAGACCGTTTTTGCCGAACCCAACTCTATAAGAAGTCCTTATTTGGTGTACAGATTTAATTACTATATTTATCAGTATTCGAGGATGATTATCTACTCATTCCTAGCTGTCTTGATTGCGCCGATTTTAGCATTAGCATTTGGCATCATTTTGGCTTTGTTCGCTTTCATTGTAGGTATAGTTATTGGATGAATTGAAAATTATTCCTAAGTATGATTTTGTAGCACATTTGGATTTTCATGCCAATCTTTAAAATGGTTAAAATTGTATTTAGTTGGACAAAACGATTTGTTGGGTTATCTGTGGATTGCGCAATCATTCCTATTTGTTACGGAATCGGATATTTGTATTCCGGAATCCGGGTACAACATCGAGCAGTGAATGAATCGACTATAAAAGAAAATATTTTGTTAATTTGATTATTTTTTGAACATATTTTATTGAGTCGTTAATTATTGGAGGCGGAAATAAAATAACTCAACCTATTTACCTACTTACTATGAAAAACGTAACATGCTATCGAAAAGGTCAAACTGAAAATGTGAAAGTCGGGCCGTTTCACATCTTTCTCCAGGTCAAGTCCAACGTACACGAAAGATTTTTTATGTTTTATTATTCAATAAGAAGTATTTCATGTTTATTGTGTTATTCAAATTCAACGCTAAAAAATTAACAGTGCTTATTATATTTTTTATAATTTGAGATAAATAGTATATATTTTTCAGTTTATTTTATGTGTAAGAAAGTTCGTGTACATTGGTCTTGATATGAAGAGATCCTCGTGAAAGTAGTAAGAACGCATGCGCCAATCCTTATTGAATTGAATTCGATAGCGTACCTTAGCTTTATCAGCAAAATGTGTTCAAGCATCATTTGCGTGTAATCCATTGCTGAGTAATCGGGTCCGATAATGTACACCACGCTGGAAATACTTGGTTTAGTGTGTATAACCATCGTTGGTTTTCAAATAGTTCGATTTTTCTTAAAAACATTCTACAAACATTATCTTGCGATTAAATTAAGAATCAACGCGGTCAAATTTGAAAATATTGGAAAATGGGCAGGTAAATAATTTTAAATAAGTAATCTTTATCTTTATCTATTTATTATATTTATATATACAAGATAAAACTAAATCTGAAGACGTTAATATAAATCATTAATATATTTTAAAAGCAAAGATTTTTAACTTTTTGTTTAGTATCACTTTTGAGACATTTACATAATGTGGTAATTATCATACAATGGAAACGGAAAGGCTTTTAAAGGCTATTGAAAACTCTAGCAAAACAATTTTAAAGTAACCATTTAATCATGTTTTTTTTTCCTCAGTCATTACCGGAGCTACAGACGGCCTTGGAAAAGCTTACGCGGAATGTTTGGCAAAGAAAGGGATGAGTATTTTCCTCATCAGCAGAACACAATCAAAACTGGATACAGTTTCCGAAGAAATCGCCACAAAATATAAAGTCGAAACACGATCTTTGGCAGTTGATTTTACGCGAACCGAAGGAATTTACAACATCATCGATAAAAATCTTTCATCCTTAGATATAGGTGTTTTAATCAATAACGTTGGAATCAGCTATTCTTACCCCGAGTATTTTTTGAACGTTGAAAATAAAGACCAATTCTTTCAAGATATGATTAATTGTAATATTACATCTGTAATAAATATGACCAAAATTGTTCTACCTATGATGGTTGAACGAAAACGAGGAATTATTATAAATCTATCTTCTCTATCAGCTACAATACCCAATCCTTTAATGACTGTTTACGCAGCTTCTAAAGCATTCGTAAAAAAATTTTCAGAAGATTTAGAGATGGAATATGCAAAAAGTGGAATTCAAGTACAATGCGTCTTACCGGGATATGTTGCCACAAACATGTCAAAAATACGTAAAGCAACCTGGATGGCTCCCTCACCAAAAACCTACGTTAATAAAGCCATCAAAACCGTTGGTATTCAAAAAAGCACCAATGGATACTTCCCTCACGTTCTTATGGGTGGATTTATTAATACCATTTATGGAATCTGCCCACATCTTGGACGGTGGATGGTAATGAGTACCTTGGAAAATATTAAGAAGAGAGCTTTAAAACGTAAAACTAACGAATAAATTTTATAGAATTTGTGATATGTTTTTAGTAAGGTTTTGGTTATGTAAAAATTTGTTTTTAATAAAATTAATAATATTGATTATAACTTTTTCTATTTCACACGTACTGTTCAGAGGGAAATTAAAAATGAAAAATGTTATTAACAAAACTTGTTAAAAATTAAAACATGAAAATTAGAAGAGTTAAAAAAAATCGGTATCCGGAGCATGATACAGAAAAACATTGACAACAAAAGTTGTAGCAAATTGTACCTTTAACACAATGCCATGCAACATTTTTGCTCCCAGATGCATCAATGTAGAGAATTTTTGAAAAATATGAAAATTAGAAGAGTGTTAAAAAAAATCGGTATCCGGAGCATGATACAGAAAAACTTTTACAACAAAAGTGTAGCAAATTGTACCCTTAACACAATGCTCTGCAACATTTTTGCTCCCAGATGCATCAATGTAGAGAATTTTTCAAATATATGAAAATTAGAAGAGTGTTAAAAAAAATCGGTATCCGGAGCATGATACAAAAAAACTTTTACAACAAAAGTGTAGCAAATTGTACCCTTAACACAATGTTCTGCAACATTTTTGCTCCCAAATGCATCAATGTAGAGAATTTTTCAAAAACATGAAAATTGGAAGAGTGTTAAAAAAAATCGGTATCCGGAGCATGATACAGAAAAACTTTTACAACAAAAGTGTAGCAAATTGTATCCTTAACACAATGCCTTAAACATTTTTGCTCCCAAATGCATCAATGTAGAGAATTTTTCAAAAATATGAAAATTTGAAGTGTTAAAAAAAATCGGTATCCGGAGCATGATACAGAAAAACTTTTACAACAAAAGTGTAGCAAATTGTACCTTTAACACAATACCCTGAAACATTTTTGCTTCCAGATGCATCAATATAGAGAATTTTTCAAAAATATGAAAATTTGAAGTGTTAAAAAAAATCGGTATCCGGAGCATGATACAGAAAAACGTTTACAACAAAAGTGTAGCAAATTGTACCCTTAACACAATGCTCTACAACGTTTTTGCTTCCAGATGCATCAATGTAGAGAATTTTTCAAAAATATGAAAATTTTAAGTGTTAAAAAAAAATCGGTATCCGGAGCATGATACAGAAAAACTTTTACAACGAAAATTGTAGTAAATTGTACCCTTAACACAATGCTCTGCAACATTTTTGCTCCCAGATGCATCAATGTAGAGAATTTTTCAAAAATATGAAAATTTGAAGTGTTAAAAAAAATCGGTATCCGGAGCATGATACAGAAAAGCTTTTACAACAAAAGTGTAGCAAATTGTATCCTTAACACAATGCCTTAAACGTTTTTGCTCCCAGATGCATCAATGTAGAGAATTTTTCAAAAATATGAAAATTAGAAGAGTGTTAAAAAAAATCGGTATCCGGAGCATGATACAGAAAAACTTTTACAACAAAAGTGTAGCAAATTGTATCTTTAACACAATGCCCTGTAACATTTTTGCTCCCAGATGCATCAATATAGAGAATTTTTCAAAAATATGAAGTGTTAAAAAAAATCGGTATCCGGAGCATGATACAGAAAAGCTTTTACAACAAAAGTGTAGCAAATTGTATCCTTAACACAATGCCTTAAACGTTTTTGCTCCCAGATGCATCAATGTAGAGAATTTTTCAAAAATATGAAAATTCAAAGGGAAATTAAAATTGCGTTATTTTGAAAAATGTTATTAACAAAAGTTGTTTGGAATTTAATTCTAAATAAATATCGTTTATAAAAAATTTTGATTCCATTAATAATTATTGGAACAACCTCAAAAATATCGACTTATATATCAGCGTACAGCGCTACCTAGTTGATTTATTAAAATTTTTTATTAAAATAATCACTTCGAACCAGTTTCTGAAGAAGGTTGCAACAAGGTATTCGAAACGTCAGACCTTTTCTTAAAAGACGCGCGCCACCTGGTTGATTTTTCAAAATTTTTTATTAAAATAATCAATTTTAAATCGCATTTTGAACAAATATTATCCGAAATATTAAGAAAATATGAAGAGGACAGCTTTGAAACACAAATAAATAAAAAAATTGATTTTAATTTTCTAAGAATTTTATTTAATTAAAATCTTAATATGCGTAACAGTTGTATTAATATATTTTAACGGTTCGAATTAACTGGGGCCATTCCAACGTTGTTCCTTCATTTTGAACATATTATTCATTATTAAACGCCTAAAAATTATTCATCTAGTGGACAATTTAGTGTTCTAGTGTCTAGACAATATCAAAAAATTGCTTCTAATTTGCTTCAATACATTACGAACCCTATTGTCAATGCAAAGATATGTAACAACAGTAAAATCATAATAGTAAAGAAACGCATCAAGGATCTAACTACAAAGATCTATGATTTTATTAATTAAGAATTTTCAATTTTCTTTCGGTCGATTTCAGTGGTCCTTGTTACTTTTTCTCGCGTTGTGTCTCCTGCGAATCGCACCGGATTGACGCAAAAGATGAGCGTTTTCCTCGTCCGTTTCAGCCGGGGGATCCCATATTTTCAAATGTTTCGGTAAATAGATCAATCCAACCAATGTTACCGCTGAAAGATATTTTGCTGGTGTAGTGAAACCACTTGGTTATGTATATTTATATCTATATGTGGGATTAAAATAAAAAAAAATATTGCTTGAATAAAAAATAAATAAAAATCAAAAAATATGTGCACTTATAGGAATAATGTATATGTTAATTACCGTTTAAGATACATGGAAAAACCACGTAAAAATTTAATGTTGCTGATTTGAAATATAATGTTTCAGATATGTAGAGAATTATGCTGACTATTAACGAGCTTATTCCCATACTTACTGCTCTAAAAAACATAGATAATGATTTAATAAGATTTAATTAGTTAAAGAGTTACTTACGGCTTGTAATGAATATAAAGAGTACAATGTATTAGCGCCAAAGCTTTTAATATCGAATATATTCCCAGCATTCTCGACGTAGTGTATTCCTCTGAACCAAAACAAAATACTTTTAGCTATTTTTGTATATGAAAAATACAAACTATATTTAAACTAAATATGTTTTTACCATCATTAAACTCGGTATTATCAGCATCCATGGTTTTGCTTAAAAACGATCTCTTTTCAATGTAACTTCGAACGGCAGTTCCAAGATCCATAAAGGCGACGAATGCTATCCATCCCCGAAACGCATATAGCATTTTTCTGTCCATGATTCCGAGCTCAGTTTCCTTTTAACTGACTTCAAAAAAAATATAATGGACGCGTCTACGACGCCGGTTAATTGCATTAAATAGGCACAAGGTTTTCTCACACTATTGCAGAGGTATTTAAAGGCATGTTCAGTGATTCTGAGCTTTCCGCGGGGGTTAAACCTAATATATAAATAGGTTATGTTGTAAAAAAAAAGTTGCGGTATTTTTAGACCGCCATCTTTGATTGAGGTTAGAAATTCTTTAAAGGAAACATTCTAGAATTTTATTTTGTAACCTGTAATACAAAATTTTAATAACCACACTTTATAACACTTGTGTGATTATTAAAAAGATATCTTTTTTGCAATATCTTTACTTTTAATCAACAAAAAACGTTAATTAATGTAATCCCCGAAATAAAACCATTTTACAATTTGCTTTTTACACCCGATAACTGTAATCTGACCGTATTTACGAATATATCCCATTTCTAATAACGAGGACGTGCCAGTCTCAGTATCATATAGTAAGTGTGTACAGCGTGTGATAAAAAATAATTAAAAATTCGTTAAATATATACAAAAATGGCACCAAAAAAATTTTTTGAACATGGTGAGTGCAGGCGAAATAAAAGATTTTGTAATATTATTAATTTTTTGGTTCAATATTAATTGAGTGGAGAATTCGAAGCATTAAGATTGACCTTGAAATTTTAATAAGACTATTTTAACTTTAACAACCTAAATAAGAAATGATAAAAACTTAGCTTTCAATTTTACGACTTCTAATTTTGATATAAAAAGAGAAATTGTATACTACACACAAAATAAGTATAAAAAATTAACACGTCCATCCCTGGCGGGGATCGAACCCACGACCTTTGGATTAGAAGTCCAACGCGCTATCCTCTGCGCCACAGGGACTTGAAATCAAACTACAAAAATAATAAATTTTACAAAATTTTAATTTTACAGATTCAATAGAATACGTGATGCTTTCGGACGAAACTTTAGAAGGTGGTTTAGAGGTGATGAGAAAATCATTTTTTATCGATGAAAACGTTTGTATAGCCGTTGAATTATACAAATATCCAAAAGCAGCTAAAGAACTCGAAGCTTTATGCGTTCGAGCAGCTAAAGATGGAGCTTCCATCGTAGCTATCGATAAAAAAACGAATCAAGTTATTGGGGCAGCTTTTAATAAAATGCAAATTAAAGGGAATCCTGAAGATAGTCATTATTTCGAAACGTTTGCATCTACGTTAAAAGAGCCGGCTTCAAAATCATTGGTGATGTTTATGAAAGAAGCAGACGAAAGTTACAATCTTTTCGAAAAATGCGACGTAGATTGCCTTTTAGAAATCATGTTTTTAGCCACATTAAAGGAGTATAGAGGGAAAGGGATCGCCAAAAAACTTTGCGAAGCTACTATTATGTTGGGAAAAACTTTATTAGCCGGTGACAATATCAAAGAAAGTATTTCAAATGAACCCGTTGAATTGGAACCGCGCCCCAAGATGACTTCTGCAATCTTCACATCTTACATTTCCCAGAAAATTGGGTCCACACTCGGATTTCAACTTGCAATCGCTTTGGATTTTAACCGATGGAGTTTTGACGGGAAAACTTACGGGGAACGCATTGGACCTCTAACTCCAAAAACAACCCTAGAATATCTTCGGCTATAAAATTTTTTTAAAACTCATTTATTTTTGATGTATTTAAAAACGCTTTTACTATATCAATTTTTGTATCGAATTGTATTAGAATAATTGTATACATTGATATTGCCGACATCATCTGCAACAAAAATAGAAATAAATAAATAAAAATAAAAAAATTTTTCACTTACCGCGAAAGCCAATTTTGTATCAACCACAAAAAACCCTAACGGGGAAATAACAGGGTATTCATGGAACAATTGAAGAGATAACGCTGTAATCTATAACTTTATTAACACCTTTGTGATTTGATATAAACTTTTTACTTACTTCTTTACGAGTTGCTTTATCTTTATAATTTAATACAAAATTGATTAAAATCGATTTTGTTCTTTGCCACTAAAAATACATCAAACAATAATTTTTTTCAATTTTATTGTTAATCTGGTTCTAGATCTTGTGTTAGTTCTAGTTTTACACTAGCACTATCACTAGAACTAACACAAGACCTAGAACTAGAATCATTCGGGTTTAGCCGTCTTTAGAGACGTGCGGCTAAACCCGAATGTTTCTAGTTCTAGGTCTAGTGTTAGTTCTAGTATTGCGCTAGCACTATCAGTAGAACTAACATAAGACGTAGAACTAGAATCATTCGGGTTTAGCAGTCTTGAGAGACGTGCGGCTAAATCCGAATGTTTCTAGATCTCGTTGTAGTGTTACTTTTTGTATTGCACTAGCGTTATTAGTAGAAACTAACACAAGACCTAGAACTAAAATCATTCGGGTTTAGCCGTCTTGAGAGACGTGCGGCTAAACCCGAACGATTTTAGTTCTAAGTTTTGTGTTAGTTCTAGTGATAGTGCTAGTATAAAACTAGAACTAACACAAGACCTGGAACTAGACTCATTCGGGTTTAGCCGTCTTTAGAGACGTGCGGCTAAATCCGAATGTTTCTAGTTCTCGGTCTAGTGTTACTTTTAGTATTGCACTAGCACTATTAGTAGAAACTAACACAAGAACTAGAACTAAAATCATTCGGGTTTAGCCGTCTTGAGAGACGTGCGGCTAAATCCGAATGTTTCTAGTTCTTGGTCTAGTGTTAGTTCTAGTATTGCATTAGCACTATCACTAGAACTAACATAAGACCTAGAACTAGAATCATTCGGGTTTAGCCGTTTTGAGAGGCGTGCGGCTAAACCCGAATGATTCTAGTTCTAGGTCTTGTGTTAGTTCTGGTGATAGTGCTAGTGTAAAACTAGAACTAACACAAAACCTAGAACTAAAATCATTCGGGTTTAGCCGTCTTGAGAGACGTGCGGCTAAACCCGAATGATTCTAGTTCTAGGTCTTGTGTTAGTTCTGGTGATAGTGCTAGTGTAAAACTAGAACTAACACAAAACCTAGAACGAAAATCATTCGGGTTTAGCCGTCTTTAGAGACGTGCGGCTAAACCCGAATGATTCTAGTTCTAGGTCTTGTGTTAGTTCTAGTGATAGTGCTAATGTAAAACTAGAATTAACACAAGCCCTAGAACTAGACTCATTCGGGTTTAGCCGTCTTGAGAGACGTGCGGCTAAATCCGAATGTTTCTAGTTCTCGGTTTAATGTTAGTTTTAGTATTGCACTAGCACTATCAGTAGAAACTAACATAAGACCTAGAACTAGAATCATTCGGGTTTAGCCGTCTTGAAAGACGTGCGGCTAAACCCGAATGATTCTAGTTCTAGGTCTAGTGTTAGTTCTAGTATTGTACTAGTACTATCACTAGAACTAACACAAGACCTAGAACTAGAATCATTCAGGTTTAGCCGTCTTGAGAGACGTGCGGCTAAACCCGAATGGTTCTAGTTCTAGGTCTTGTGTTAGTTCTAGTGATAGTGCTAATGTAAAACTAGAATTAACACAAGCCCTAGAACTAGTACTAGTACTAGTACTAGTACAATACTAGAACTAACACAAGACCTAAAACTAGAATCATTCGGGTTTAGCCGTCTTAAAAGACGTGCGGCTAAATCCGAATGATTCTAGTTCTAGGTCTAGTGTTAGTTCTAGTGGCAGTGGTAGACAGCGCTAGTTAGCATAAGATACTATTATGTTGTATATTTTTATTGAACTAAAACTAGAACTCTTTTTGCATTTACTTACTTCTTTTATGCATTTATTTCCAACCGCAATAGTAACAAAAATTGTTAACACAGCATCAATAACCATCACGAAAAAAAGGGCCAAAACTGGATATACAACATCTTGATGAATAAACATCAATAAAAAACTGAATACTTGCAAAATGATTAACGTGAAATGTCTCAAGAGTGAGATCAACGAATAAAATCCAAAAATTTTTGATGTTTTCAAGATATACTCGGTGAGTTGTTGATGAATGTTGGCTAATTTATGAATTTTGTTTGGAATATCATTGTTGTCATTAATTTCACAAAATTTATCGTTAACTTTTTGTAGCATTGATCCAATAATTAAAAAAAATACGTTGTATGTTAAATTAACGGATGTTGGTGATAAATAAATGAACACTGACACAACGTTTAATAAAATTTCTTCAAAACCGTTTAAATTTGGTTGAACGAAATGGCCGATAATTAATAAAAAATGTTTAATCGCCACAAAAACGATTTCCATCGTAATAATTTTCCTTCTAATTTTAAAATAATCCAAATTAATTTCGCATTTTTTAAGGTTCTCTTCTAATTCGTAAAGATTGGTCATTTGGGAAAGAATCGTTTTTTGTTTTAGCTTCAAGTAGAATCCGCTCCACAATATATAAACGGTTTCCGCAAAAACATAAACGTGAAAACCAGCGGCTACTAGCGTCGAACCTTTTATCAAAATTCCGTCCACTTTCATGTAATACATAATAACCCAGGCACAACCTCCAAAATGAATCACCCCAATCAATATTGAAAGCATTTTTGAACAGACACTATTTCGTTGACCATTTAAATTGAAAATAATCACACCAGTAATTTTTAATAAGTAATAAATTGGTTTTAACAACCAATATACGTTTTTGTTTTCTTTAAACATTCTAAATGTATTGAAAAACTTGGACGTAATGAAGGCGAATACTTAAAATAATTAATCCATTTTCTTAAGTGATTACATTTTTATTTAATTAAAAACTATTAACAGTTTTATATATGTTTGTATTGTTTTATGCAATCATCGAGGGACTAACATTATTGGTTAAAGTACGACATTTCCATAAGATGTCATCATTAACTGCATCCAAATCTTCCACAGGTATCCAATGTTGATGAGGTTCTTCATTAATTAATTCATCCCTCACCTTTTCAACTTCTTTGAAAACTCGCAAAAAGTTATCGCTCGACAGTTTCTTAATATTTTCATTCGTCCATCTTTCAGGGTTATTGTTTTGGAGGTATTTAAATAAATCTGGATATTTTGAAACATCTTCTAAACCAGTTGGCATTCTAGAATAGATTGTTAAAATTGTAAAAATAACAAATTTGTGGTTAACTTACAAAGATACTCCATCGTAATCACCTCCAACCCCAACATAATCATGCCCAATCACATCAACAATGTGATTAATATGATCTATTAAAAAAAATGATTGTGTGAAAAATTTAACAAAAATTCCCACAATTTGGAGATCGATATCTTCTCTAAGAAGAAAATATACCCAGAGTGTCCAAATGGAAAACCTTTGTATATACCGATCTCTAAATTGAGGGATAAATAAAGTTTTTTTACTTACTTGCTACATGGTCAATAGTTGCTTCTCTTGGTTTTCCATGAACAAAGCCGCTATAAAAGTTAACCATAATAATTCCTTTGTTATCTTTCTATAAACATAAAAAATACAGTAAATTTTACTTAAAATACAATATACAAAAATATATTTCCATAAAAACCAAGGCACACATAAAATGCAACATGTCTTAATGTTTCTAGTTAACATAAGATATCACTATGTTGCATATTTTTATTGAACTAAAACTAGAACTAACACAAGACCTAGAACTAGAATCATTCGAGTTTAGCCGTCTTGAGAGACGTGCGGCTAAATCCAAATGTTTCTAGTTCTTGGTCTAGTGTTAGTTTTAGTACTGCATTATCACTATCACTAGAACTAACACTAGAACTAGAATCATTCGGATTTAGCCGTCTTGAGAGACGTACGGCTAAACCCGAACGATTCTAGTTGTAGGTCTAGTGTTAGTTCCAGTTTTACACTATCATTAGAACTAACACAAGACCTAGAACTAGAATCATTCGGGTTTAGCCGTCTTGAGAGACGTGCGGCTAAATCCGAATGTTTCTAGTTCTAGGTCTAGTGTTAGTTCTAGTTTTACACTAGCACTATCACTAGAACTAACACAAGACCTAGAACTAGAATCATTCGGGTTTAGCCGTCTTGAGAGACGTGCGGCTAAATCCGAATGTTTCTAGTTCTAGGTCTAGTGTTAGTTCTAGTTTTACACTAGCACTATCACTAGAACTAACACAAGACCTAGAACTAGAATCATTCGGGTTTAGCCGTCTTGAGAGACGTGCGGCTAAATCCGAATGTTTCTAGTTCTAGGTCTAGTGTTAGTTCTAGTTTTACACTAGCACTATCACTAGAACTAACACAAGACCTAGAACTAGAATCATTCGGGTTTAGCCGTCTTGAGAGACGTGCGGCTAAATCCGAATGTTTCTAGTTCTAGGTCTAGTGTTAGTTCTAGTTTTACACTAGCACTATCACTAGAACTAACACAAGACCTAGAACTAGAATCATTCGGGTTTAGCCGTCTTGAGAGACGTGCGGCTAAATCCGAATGTTTCTAGTTCTAGGTCTAGTGTTAGTTCTAGTTTTACACTAGCACTATCACTAGAACTAACACAAGACCTAGAACTAGAATCATTCGGGTTTAGCCGTCTTGAGAGACGTGCGGCTAAATCCGAATGTTTCTAGTTCTAGGTCTAGTGTTAGTTCTAGTTTTACACTAGCACTATCACTAGAACTAACACAAGACCTAGAACTAGAATCATTCGGGTTTAGCCGTCTTGAGAGACGTGCGGCTAAACCCAAATGTTTCTAGTTCTCGGTCTAGTGTTAGTTCTAGTTTAACACTAGGACTATCACTAGAACTAACACAAGACCTAGAACCACAAACATTTGGGTTAAAAATTAATTTTGTTAAAGTTACTTACTAAAAGTAAAAGAGTATCATCATGAACATTTCTGTTATGATTAAAAACTGACCAAGATGAAGAATGAGAGAAAATAACCGGTGCTCTACTGACTTCAATCGCCTTATTCATAACACCGTGTGAAACGTGGGATAAATCAACCATCATTCCTAAGCGATTCATTTCTTTGACAACAATTTCGCCGTAGGGTGTTAAATCAATCATGGGTTTATCGTCGTCAACGTACGAATTGTCGGCCCATGGAGTGTTACAGGAATGTGTTAAGGTCATATATCTAACACCTAAATCGTAAAAACTTCTCAATGCACTCAAACGAGCATCCATGGAATGTCCGCCTTCGACTCCGATTAAACTTGCAATTTTTCCATTCTCAACGGCTTTTAGAATTCCATCGGAAGTTGTTACAAATTCCATGTCGTCGGGATATCTCTTAACTAATCTTTTAATAACGTCGATTTGTTCTAAAGTTTTTCCCAATGCATCTTTGTATTGTACTTGACAGGAAACGTAAGCCACCCAAAACTATTTAAATGAATCAAAAATGTTTTCAATTTTTTTAAGATCATACCTGAGCTCCAACTTGACCTTTTCTTAAACGAGGAAGATCGGTGAAGCAAGAAGCACAAGCCGACGATCCCCAAGTGGGATCATCCGATAAATTTTCTGAGAAGCGGAAAGTTTCCAAATTGTTTTCAAGTTTGTTGTAAAGATTGTAAGGGAGATCATTATGCCTATTGAAATAAATAATTTAATTTAAATTTTAATCCTGCGAATAACATCGTTTATGATGTTTATGACACTTATTAACAGATAAAATTGACGCAAACCAATATCTTTATTTAATAACAATGGTTTATTACTTTATTACCAGTAAGCGTTTAAGTAATTATTAACAAATCAAATTTATTTTTTGCTATATATTAATAACTTACCCATCGATAACGAAAAGTTCGGATAAATCTTCTACGTTGTCATCGGGAATATAGGTTGTTGTAATAGATTCTTTATCATCTACACTATCTACAGATTCAGCCTCGACAGAAATCGCAACTAAAGCTGCTGTGATACCTATAACAATTAAAGAAGAAACTACTTTCGATTAGATTTTTGTTTACAACATTTTTAAATCATAAAAGTCCTTCACTTTTTTTTTAAATATAAACTTAATATTTATCTTTCAAGTATTTACACATGATTTGAGTATCGATTATTATCTATTATTATAAAAAGATCGTACGGAAATTTTATTAAATAAATAAATTTTCGAAAAATATATTTAATAAAATTAATACTTACTTATGAAAATACTGTATTTCACTTTGTTGTTCATTTTTGGAATGTTACTTGAATTCTAAATATTTTCGAGCAAACTTAAGGTATTTGTATCATAACTTTTATTAGTAGCAATAAAAAGATACGATACCTATAAATTTAAACACATTGAAAATTCCCTTCATTTTTATTTAATTTTTTTTAAACCGTAGAGTACAAAGCCAAAAACACAAATAAACCACAATTGAAACTGTGATATAATGTGGGCTATTATGAGTGGAGAATTAAGGTGGGGGCATTGATGTTAAACATCTAATGAGTGATAATCAACTTACGCGATAACTTCATTGTATAATTGTATAGTACATTTACAGAACTAGAACAAGACGACCTTAAATCTTCTTCTTAAAGTTTAATAAATCAGTCATTTGAAATAACTTGGACACAAATTTTTTTTAAGATAATGTACACACAAAAAATTACATCTATAAGAAAATATTTGTACCACACCATTTTAGCTCCAGAATTTCTTAAATGATTTGTATCTCCATATTTAAGAAGGTGCTCAATCTAATAAACAGCTTCATCTAATGGGTTAACCAGGCGATTTCACATTAAGTTTGATCGCGTTGAAAATTTAAAAAAAATCTGATCAAAACCATTGAATTTTCTCACAAAATCTTCTTTCACCGATATTTTAGGTTAGGAATATGATATCGAGGCGCGGTTTTCACTAGCTTGTTTGGGCTTCATTTTGCTTTTCAACGATACCAAGATTATTAAAATCCGTTTAGCCATTTTTAAATTATTAGCATTTGTTTACAAACATTTTCGAACACCCCCACCGCTTTATTTTTAGAGATAAGGCAAAAAGTGTTTTAACAAAAAAACTATAATTTATTTCAACTTTAAATGGCATATATTATTTTGTAGTGTTAATACAATGAAATTTAAAAAAAAACAACATTATTCAATTCAAAGTTTCCGAGATACAGTACTTTGCACGATGTTTGTTTTAAATATTTATTATATGTACAGGATGGCCAAATAAGCGTGGACTAAAAAACAATACAATGAGAAATGCTCCCAAAAGTGAGGTGAAGTATCTTCTAAACTAAGGCAGTTTAAAAAATTTAAAAAAAACATCAAAATCATTAAATTTTCTCACAAAATCTTCTTTCACCGATATTTTAGGTTAGGAACTGATATCGAGGCGCGGTTTTCACTAGCTTGTTTGGGCTTCATTTTGCTTTTCAACGATACCAAGATTATTAAAATCCGTTTAGCCATTTTTAAATTATTAGCATTTGTTTACAAACATTTTCGAACACCCCCATCGCTTTATTTTTAGAGAAAAGGCAAAAAGTGTTTTAACAAAAAACCTATAATTTATTTCAACTTTAAATGGCATATATTCTTTTGTAGTGTTAATACAGTGAAATTTCGAAAAAAAAACATTTTTCAATTCAAAGTTTCCGAGATACAGTACTTTGCACGATGTTTGTTTTAAATATTTATTATATGTATAGGATGGCCAAATAAGCATGGACTAAAAAACAATACAATGAGAAATGCTCCCAAAAGTGAGGTGAAGTATCTTCTAAACTAAGGCAGTTTAAAAAATTTTAAAAAAATATCAAAATCATTGAATTTTCTCACAAAATCTTCTTTCACCGATATTTTAGGTTAGGAACATGACATCGCGGTGCGGTTTTCACTAGCTTGTTTGGGCTTCATTTTGCTTTTCAACGATACCAAGATTATTAAAATCCGTTTCGCCATTTTTAAATTATTAGCATTTGTTTACAAACATTTTCGAACACCCCCACCACTTTATTCTTATAGATAAGGCAAAAAGTGTTTTAACAAAAAAACTAATTTATTTCAACTTTAAATGGCATATATTCTTTTGTAGTGTTAATACAGTGAAATTCCGAAAAAAGTAACATTTTTCAATTCAGAGTTTCCGAGATACAGTACTTTGCACGATGTTTGTTTTAAATATTTATTATATGTACAGGATGGTCAAATAAGCGTGGACTAAAAAATAATACAATGAGAAATGCTCTCAAAAGTGAGGTGAAGTATCTTCTAAACTAAGGCAGTTTAAAAAATTTAAAAAAAACATCAAAATCATTAAATTTTCTCACAAAATCTTCTTTCACCGATATTTTAGGTTAGGAACGTGATATCGAGGCGCGGTTTTCACTAGCTTGTTTGGGCTTCATTTTGCTTTTCACCGATACCAAGATTATTAAAATCCGTTTAGCCATTTTTAAATTATTAGCATTTGTTTACAAACATTTTCGAACACCCCCACCGCTTTATTTTTAGAGATAAGGCAAAAAGTGTTTTAACAAAAAAACTATAATTTATTTCAACTTTAAATGGCATATATTCTTTTGTAGTCTTAATACAATGAAATTTAAAAAAAAACAACATTATTCAATTCAAAGTTTCCGAGATACAGTACTTTGCACGATGTTTGTTTTAAATATTTATTATATGTACAGGATGGCCAAATAAGCGTGGACTAAAAAACAATACAATGAGAAATGCTCCCAAAAGTGAGGTGAAGTATCTTCTAAACTAAGGCAGTTTAAAAAATTTAAAAAAAAACATCAAAATCATTGAATTTTCTCACAAAATCTTCTTTCACCGATATTTTAGGTTAGGAACATGACATCGCGGTGCGGTTTTCACTAGCTTGTTTGGGCTTCATTTTGCTTTTCAACGATACCAAGATTATTAAAATCCGTTTAGCCATTTTTAAATTATTAGCATTTGTTTACAAACATTTTCGAACACCCCCACCGCTTTATTTTTAGAGATAAGGCAAAAGGTGTTTTAGCAAAAAAAACTATAATTTATTTCAACTTTAAATGGCATATATTCTTTTGTAATGTTAATACAGTGAAATTTCGAAACAACCAACATTTTTCAAAGTTTTCGAGATACAGTACTTTGCAAGCTTATTTGGACACCTGTACATTTTGATATTTATTATGAATTTAAAATGAATCAAAAAAATGTTTCTTATTAAAAATAAAGTTTAGAAAATAAAACAAACCATTCCACAAATATATTTATTATTTATTGAGTTAATATATTTATTAACATAAACAGACTAAAAGACGATTCTTCATAGCTGACGTCATCAATCGCTGGATGCGATATCCAGCTAGGATTTGTTCATTTGCTTGAAAAGGGCGTACGCTCCAATCAACGTCCTCAATACGCTAAAAATTAAGAAAATATTAAAAACTTGAATAATTTTTATAAATGTTAATAACTTACAATTTCCACCATTGCATTGTCTCCAGTACAAAATGGCGAAAATTGCGGTCCAGTTCCTTCGATATCAAAGACGTTAACGAAATGATGCCAACTAGAATATCCCAAACGATTAAAAGTTGTACGTTTGGAATAAACGTATTTAACCATGTCCGAATAGAGAATTGCCAACAATTCTTGAGTTAATCCATTTTCTTGAAGCATGATTAGATCGAAAATAAACACGCTGTCCTTGGAGCACACGTAAAGCAAACTTGGAACGGTCTTCGTGGGATCCATTTTGTTTGTGTAATTTATCGGAACGACATAAATCACGTCTGATACATGTATTTTCTTAATAGCGTCCACGTAAATTTCACTCTTATTCCAGATGTAGGTGACGTTAATATCAACACCAGGAGTCATGGTTCTTTATGATTAGAAAACAAGCGACTACGACCTTTACTTGAACAGTGCAAACACCAAGTGGCGAATCGACCAGTTTCACCGATCGATGAACGCTTCCGATGACTCTGCGTACTACGAAGTTAGTCGCATTTTCGACCTTATTGATGGGCGGGAAATTTAAACATTGAAAGTATTTAAAGTATTTTAGTATTGTGTTTTTACAATAAGACGCTTACATTGGTTTTTAATACTTCATTTTTATAGAATATCACGAGAAATTGTTTTAATAGGTTAAAAGCGGATTATTTCTAGATTCCCATACTTTTACAGTTTCCTGTAATACAGGATCATCATGTTAAATTTTTTATTTCCTCGATTTCAAAGCTAATATATAAAGTGAAGAGGATGTTAACAGAATTTAAATAATAAATTAAAAAGAATATTGAAGCAATAAAATATTTTTAACATTTAAATTTTCCGCCTGTCAATAAGGTCGAAAATGTAACTAACTTCACTATGCGCAACCTCCCCGTTCATTGTTCATCGTGTGTTGACATTGTCGAAAGTCGTTTAGTGTTTCTTTCAACAAAACACGGTTTCTTAATAATCAAAAAGAAAAGATGAGTGCTCTTGCTGCTTATAAAGATACTCCACCCAACATGACGTACATTTGGAACAAGAAAAAGCTTTACGCGGATGCGATCAAGAAATTAAACAGGTCGGATTCGCTTTTGGTCGTCCCAATAAATTCGATAGACAAAATGGATGCTACGAAAACGACCCCTAGCTTGGTTTACTTGTGCAGCGTTGATAGCATTTTCATTTTCGACCTAATCGCGCTTAAAGAAAACGGAATAACGAAGGAGATGTCGGATATTATCAAATCGAACAAAATAAAATTCGTCTTCTCCAAACCTATAACCTTTAATCGTTTGGGAATTGATAATTGGCATAACATACCGAACGTTTTAGATTTTGAAGCTTCAGGAGAAAAATTCTCCCCATTTGATGATGATGGCAACCAAGAGGAAGCTGGTGCAAGTGCCCCAAGTACCGAGTTTGTAAGTCTTGAATGTATTTTAATTTATGTTTACCTCATTTTCTTAATTTTTAATTTTTAGCGTATTGCTGACGTCGATTGGAGCGTGCGTCCGTTTAAATCTGACGAACATTTTAAGGCTGGAAAACGCATATATCAATTGCTCATCGTTAATTCATACGGCCCCAAAACAGAATAAATTGATGTTTTTTGATAGTTTTTTTTTGTAGTTTCATATTTAGATAGTAAGTGTTTCTATAAGAAGAGTTGTGATTTATTTACAGAAATTTAATGATAAAAAAAATGTTGGTAATATAACCTTAAATTACGATAATGTACCTTAAAGTATTTTTGAGAATCAATCATGTCAATAATAAAAGATTACTTAAAGTTGTAATTATGTTTAAAATTGTTTTGTACGTTTAATAATAAATAAATACTTAATTTCTTATAAATAAAATATAATTTTAATCTAACTTAATTCCAACATCTAAAACATATCCTCCATTTAGTTATAAATGATAATTAATTGATCCTTGATTGATAATCCAACTTGAAGAGGTAATTCTTACCCTTGTATGTATGTAGCTTCACGTGGGGGTGAATTCCTTCACAGCACTTAGATCAGAAAACCAGCCCAAGGTTTTAATCATGCGGTAGTCTTCATCAGCTTGCCTCAAAAACGATGTCATTTATTGCTTTCTCTGCAAAAGCTCGTTGTGTGGAATCTAATGTCAGCAATTTTCCTCCCCAAGCTTTTGCAATTGTTGGAAAGTTGCTATCAGGGTTCGATGAGGTTTCCAAAAGTGAACATGCTTTTTGCAAAAGTAAATTTTGCTTCGAAACCGGACCGAGCGATTTCAATCTTTTGGTTTGATGAGTTTGAGGTAATGCATTTGGGGGGAAGCATTGAAGATGTTGATGCTGTGGCAGAAGTCCGTTGAACGTATTCACCTATTTCTTGTTCTCTTGTTGCTCCAATTCCTGAAATAACGTTTTACAATAAGGTACACAGGAAACATATAGCCTTGTATTACAATTACAAAGGATTTTGCTGCATCGTACTTTTGGCACCATTGCCGAAAACAACTGATCTTTTCCCATATGTATTTGTTGCTGACAAGGCAATTGAATTACATAACAATTTATTGAAACCTTACTCTCAAAGATTGCTGAATACACCTCTACAAATATTCAATGAAAGGTTGTCACGCGCTCGAGTATTTGTAGAGAATGCATTCGGGATATTGAGTTCATGGTTTCGTGTGTTCCAAAAACCTATCAATCTACAGCCACCAAAAGCTACAATGGTTACTCTTGCCTGTTGTTATACCTCACCTCAAATGATCGAGGTAGAGATGTGGATAATTTGTTACAAAGTACTTTTCAAAGAAACAGTTCTACAGTTGCCAAGGCACAAATTTTGTCATTATTATAACAATGAAGGAAAATACTGAAAGCCTCATTTAATGTTGACTTCTTTTAAAACTGTATACTATGTGACTTAATTTTTTGAAATAATTAATACTTACTGCTTTGGAATTTCTTTTAAAGCTGTCACCTACAATATAGTGGGGAAATCATGTAGAAGATAGTGGGTATAGATGTGTAGATAATAGAACCACAGTGAAATGGAGTAACTAAAAATAGGTTACTGTGCGAACAAATGGATTTAGTCGGCTGCTGCTGTAATAGTTTCTCGAACCTCCCAAGAAAGGACATAGCAAAAAACACCTATGAGGAAGGTGTGTAATGTTCATCTGTACTGTTTCCCGACCTCTTTGATGCGGCAATTTTCTTCAATTCTTTTCTATAATATGTTCGAAGACTGTTTATCTTTTTTTTGACATCCTTTCTTTTGTTGGTTTATTCTCATTAAAAAGGATATGAGGCGGTCAACAGATGAATTTCTTTCCGCTTTGTTGGAATACATTGGGTTGGTCGGATTCCACACCTTTGGAGATACTTCGTATTGTTCCATAAAATTACGAAGAAAATCAGAAAATTCGGATTTCTATCAATACTCCATCAATATTTACCGTCAATAAAACTTTTCACCTTATACGGTCAATATTATTGTCAATATGCTAAGGTATTGTCAATATTATTGTCAATATTACACACGCTCTACAGAGGGATGCATTTGCCAACTTAATGTAGAACATGTACTCACGTAACGTGGAGTGTCCGGTCAGGAAGTGGGTGAGGAGCTTCAAGTCACTTTTTGATTTTCCCAGGAAATGAGTAGATTTGTTCCGGTCAGGGTGGAGTATAGGTTTCTTTGCAAAGACATCTATTACACCATCTATCGCAAAAACCTCGATGGGAGATAGAGATGGAGGCAACCTGTCCGTATGATTGTGTCTTATTTCGGTATGTCCTTTCCGCCACTTTATCGTGACGTTGCTATAAACGTTAGCCTCCTCAAGTGATTGCTACTAACCGCCAGCATAGCCTGTCTGCTATCTGTGCAGATTACAACTGTTCTGTCAACTTTTTTGGAGTCAATGATCATATTGGCTGCTATAATTATAGCAGTTATTTCAGCTTGAGCAGTCGTGCAGTACGACCCTAGCAAAGTGGAGAGTTGTAGCAGGAGATCTAGTCTTCTTTGATCCATCAGTGTAGATGGTCAGCGTTTTGCCCGTACTTAAGTTACTCTGAGGTATCGTTTCAATGCCAAAGTGTAGCCTGGTTAAGAAAGTAGGTGTAAGTTCGCTCCGGATTTTTCCCTGTTTTAGAAGCTGCTTATTATCCTCTGATCGCAATCAAAGCAACGCCATCACGGCCACCTTTGGCAATCTTTTAGTTCATTTCTTACACCACAGAAAATTAAGAATTATTTGATTTATGTGAATGTTATTATTCCAAAAAAGGTACTGAAGATGTTGTGTCTATATGGTATCAATTGTAGCACCTCGTGCCCAAGCAACCTTGTAGTAGTCCATCGTAGCTGTGATGTAAATAACTTTGCATCATTGCCACAAATATCACCATTTCGTGAAATTTGTTGTTTAAGAGAATAACAATCAAGTAGTTATATTTATTTTAGTTTTCTTTCCCAAAGATAAGTTTTTATAAATAAAACATTTAACTTTATGCAAACATTTATTATTATATTAAAGATATCATCTAACACAAAAACATCAAAAGGTAACTTATTAATTATAAATAACAAATTTATAGTTTATAATCAGTAAACATCATCATCACTTCGTATACGCGATTACCAGCCTTGAAATGTTCATTTTCTTTAAATGGGCGTACTCTCCAATCAACTTCAGCAATACACTAAATAAAAAGTAATAAATTTAACACAAATTTAATAAGAATTTGTTATTAATTAATGTGAAATCTTACAAATTCCGTGCTTGAAGTACCTGCTTCACCTTCACCCCCATACACGACACCTACAACATCATCTATCGCAAACACCTCGATGGGAGATAGAGATGGAGTCAACCTGTCCGTATGATCGTGTCTTATTTCGGTATGTCCTTTCCGTCACTTTATCGTGACGTTGTTATAAACGTTAGCCTCCTCAAGTGATTGCCGACAGGACTTCACTAACGATGATGTAGTTCGATGCCTACTAACCGTCAGCATAGCCTATCTGCTATCTGTGCAGATTACAACGTTTCTGCCAAGTTTTTTGGAGTCGATGATCTTATTGGCTGCTATAATTATAGCAGTTATTTCAGCCTGAGCAGTCATGCAGTACGACAAAGTGGAGAGTTGTAGCAGGAGATCTAGCCTCCTTTGATCCATCAGTGTAGATGGTCAGCGTTTTGCCCGTGCTTCAGTTGCTCTGAGGTATCATTTCAATGCCAAAGTGTAGCCTGTTTAAGAAAGTATGTGTAAGTTCGCTCCGGATTTTTCCCTGTTTTAGAACCTGCTTATTATCCACTGATCACGGCCACCTTTGGCAATCTTTTAGTTCATTTCTTACACCACAGAAAATTAACAATTATTGGATTTATGTGAATGTTATTATTCCAAAAAAGGTACTGAAGATGTTGTGTCTATGTGGTATCAATTGCAGCACCTCGTGCTCAAGCGACCTTGTAGTAGACCATCGTAGCTGTGATGTAAATAACTTTGCATCATTGCCACAAATATCATCATTTCGTGAAATTTGTTGTTTAAGAGAATAACAATCAACTAAGTAGTTATATTTATTTTAGTTTTCTTTCCCAAAGATAAGTTTTTATAAATAAAACATTTAACTGTATGCAAACATGTATTATTATATTAAAGATATCATCTAACACAAAAACATCAAAAGGTAAGTTATTAATTATAAATAACAAATTTATAGTTTATAATCAGTAAACATCATCATCACTTCGTATACGCGATTACCAGCCTTGAAATGTTCATTTTCTTTAAATGGGCGTACTCTCCAATCAACTTCAGCAATACACTAAATAAAAAGTAATAAATTTAACACAAATTTAATAAGAATTTGTTATTAATTAATGTGAAATCTTACAAATTCCGTGCTTGAAGTACCTGCTTCACCTTCACCCCCTACAGTTCCATTACCGTAAGGTGAAAATTGTTCTCCAGAAGATTCAATATCAAAAACGTTTGGAATGACATCCCAATTATCAAGACCCAACAAGGTAAAAGTAATTTGCTTGGAAAAAACAAATTTCTTTTTGCCGGATTTGATGATATCCAACAACTCCTTTGTTATACCCTTTTCTTTAAGCATGATGAGGTCGAAAATAAACACGCTATCCCAGGTGCTCATATAAATTAAGCTTGGTACGTTTTTCGTTGAATCCACTTTGTCTATGTAGTTTATTGGGACGACAAAAATCATATCTGCTTTATTTAATTTCTTGAGAGCATCTGCGTAAATTTTTTTCTTGTTCCAAATGTACGACATGTTGGGTGGATCAATTTTAACAGCAATTGGGGCACTCATCTTTCTTGCTAATTAAAAAACGGGCGAGTTTTATGCTAATTACACTATAACAATATGGCTGCTTTGTGTTGACAGGCCCTCTAGTGGCGAAACTAAAATTTTAATTAAATTAATCAAATGAAATCAAATTAAAATATCTTATTAAAATTTATGTATTATTAAAATAATTTCGTATAATTAATTTTAGCTTAAACATTTAAATAAAAATAAAATATTTTTCTCAATTGCCACATTGTTGATTGTTATTTGCCACCAGAGGGCCTGTCATACTTAAAACGCGCATTTTGTTGTCATTACTTGTTCTCAAAAATACATAAAAATGGATCAATTTCAGCAAAATCAAGAAAGTAAGTTCAAAATTGTCTATATTTACAAAATGGGGAAGATGTATTACAAAGCGATAGCAATGTTGAAGACTGCTAAGAAGATCTACGTTATACCGATTACTTGTCGCACTGGAAGGAGCAAGTTTATTAGTCTTGTGTACATCATGACGAAGAAGGATATATTTATCTTCGACACTCTGAAATTTAAGGTAAAAAATTTGCCGAAAGAATTAGCTAAACTCATCTTGTCGAATAAGTGGAAAATGGTGTTTTCAAAAAAGAAAACATTGTACTTGTTGGGGCTTAATCGTTGGAAACATATCTGTAACGTTTGTGATATGGAACTTTTATTTGAATCACTTGCTACTAGCCCCCCAGATGCTTATAATGCCATACTAAATTATATCCGCCGATTGGGAGAAAAACCATCCAGAAATCGTAGAAATAACACCCGTCGTAGGCGACGTAGGCGTAGGCACAGTAACAGTAAACGATTAATTAATAACCCACTTAACCCAAGACATAATAAACCAAATCAAAGACGTAACAAACTAATATCTAACAAACCTACTTATCGCGAAATAATTAGTAGCAATCAAAATCTTGAAAATCCTTTTTCCCCACTCCTTGATGTTGACTTACTTACAGAAGTAAGTATTTTCCAATTATGCAATTTATTTAATCATAAATGAATTTTATTTAAGATGTATAGTTCCATAAATTGGGCTCAACGTCCTTTCGAAAGAAATGAACATATTTATGCAGCAAAAAGATTATCAAAATTGGCCGAAACGTTTCATTAAAATGTTTTGTTTTGTAAGAATTAATAAAAAAAATCAGTTTATTGTTATATTACAGGAATTATTCTATAGAAATAAAGTTGCAATAAAACGTTTTAAATGTTTAAATTTCCCGTCTTCACTTTATATATTAGCTTTGAAATCGAGGAAATAAAAAATTTAACATGATGATCCTGTATTACAGGAAACTGTAAAAGTATGGGAATCTAGAAATAATCCGCTTTTAACCTATTAAAACAATTTCTCGTGATATTCTATAAAAATGAAGTATTAAAAACCAATGTAAGCGTCTTATTGTAAAAACACAATACTAAAATACTTTAAATACTTTCAATGTTTAAATTTCCCGCCCATCAATAAGGTCGAAAATGCGACTAACTTCGTAGTACGCAGAGTCATCGGAAGCGTTCATCGATCGGTGAAACTGGTCGATTCGCCACTTGGTGTTTGCACTGTTCAAGTAAAGGTCGTAGTCGCTTGTTTTCTAATCATAAAGAACCATGACTCCTGGTGTTGATATTAACGTCACCTACATCTGGAATAAGAGTGAAATTTACGTGGACGCTATTAAGAAAATACATGTATCAGACGTGATTTATGTCGTTCCGATAAATTACACAAACAAAATGGATCCCACGAAGACCGTTCCAAGTTTGCTTTACGTGTGCTCCAAGGACAGCGTGTTTATTTTCGATCTAATCATGCTTCAAGAAAATGGATTAACTCAAGAATTGTTGGCAATTCTCTATTCGGACATGGTTAAATACGTTTATTCCAAACGTACAACTTTTAATCGTTTGGGATATTCTAGTTGGCATCATTTCGTTAACGTCTTTGATATCGAAGGAACTGGACCGCAATTTTCGCCATTTTGTACTGGAGACAATGCAATGGTGGAAATTGTAAGTTATTAACATTTATAAAAATTATTCAAGTTTTTAATATTTTCTTAATTTTTAGCGTATTGAGGACGTTGATTGGAGCGTACGCCCTTTTCAAGCAAATGAACAAATCCTAGCTGGATATCGCATCCAGCGATTGATGACGTCAGCTATGAAGAATCGTCTTTTAGTTTGTTTATGTTAATAATACATTATTAGAAATTATTAATTAATTAATTAATTAATAATAAATAAATAAATAATAATATAATTGTTTTTTTTTAATTATACAATTTCGATTGACAACTTGAAGAATACCCCTTCTACGCCACCAGAGGGCCTGTCAATATTTTGTAATATTTAACGTCAAACAATCGTGTGTTTTTTAATTAGCAAAAAAGATGAGTGCCCCAATTGCTGTTGAAATTAATCCACCCAATATGGCGTACATTTGGAACAAGAAGAAAATCTACGCAGACGCTATCAAGAAATTAACCAAAGCAGATATGATTTTTGTCGTCCCAATGAATTACATAGACAAAGTGGATTCAACGAAAAACGTTCCAAGCTTAATTTATATGAGCACCTGGGATAGCGTGTTTATTTTCGACCTCATCATGCTTAAAGAAAAGGGTATAACAAAGGAGTTGTTGGCTATCATCGAATCTGACAAGAAGAAATTTGTTTATTCCAAGCAAATTACCTTTACCTTGTTGGGTCTTAATAATTGGGGTGACATTCCCAACGTTTTTGATATTGAACCATCTGGTGAACAATTTTCACCTTATGGTAATGGAAATGTAGGGGGTGAAGATGAAGCAAGTGCTTCAAGCACGGAATTTGTAAGAATCCACATTAATTAATAACAAATTCTTATTAAATTTATTACTTTTATTTAGCGTATTGATGAAGTTGATTGGAGGGTACGCCCATTTAAAGCAAATGAACAATTCAAGGCTGGTAATCGCGTATACGAAGTGACAATGAAGTTCACTGATTATAAACCATAAATTTGTTAGTTGTAATTAATAAGTTTTTTTTGTTACACAATATCTTGAATAAAATAATAAATGTTTCTATATAGTTCATTGTTTTATTCATAAAAAATTGTAGGTTATGTTTTTAGAAGTTTTTTAAATCAAACATTAGATTTTTTTATAAAATCTTTTTTATTATAAAACGTACAAAAATAAACTTAAATAATCTTTTATTGTTGATTCTTCTAAAATACTTTATAAACCTCTATTTTCATAATTTGAGGTTATGTCACTAATATTTTTCTGTATTAATAAATTTCTGTAAATAAATCACAACTCTTCCTGTATAAACACTTATTAATTAATTCTGATTTAGGGCCGTTTTATGTTATATGCGCATAATGAAGTTAATTACATTTTCAACCTTATTGACAGGCGGGAAATTTAAATTTAAACTTAAACATTAATTAATTTACGAATCATTTCCATTATTCGTCTATAGTTACCGCTCGATTGTTCGCAAGCTTTATCTGTGAATTCAAAGAAAAAATTATCGTTAGTAATCGCATTTCGTTAAAGAATGTTGTGTTGATACGGCGATATAAAAAGAACGTTTTCGGCCCTATTTGATAAAAAAATAACTTAATACATTAATAAGTGTTAATTTTTGATTAATAAAGTAGAGGTAGATGATGATTTAAGTATCTTATATATATTAATAATATTAAAGTTCTAAACGGCGAGTTCTCCTACAGATCGTTTCATTTGCTCAAATAATGAGATGAATTGGAAGAAGTGTTGTGCAATTTTGAAGTGTTCGTTAGCTTGAAAAGGGCGTACGGTCCAATCCACGTCCGCTAAACGCTAAAAAATAAATTTTTTTTAATTTTAAAAGTTTTTAATTTAGTTTATAACTTACTGGTTGTGTTGTCATAGGAAGATATTCTAACATAGGTAATTCAAAGTTCTCTGGCATCAACTCGATTCCGTAAGTTTCGCGAATATAATTGACTCGATCTATCATTTTTTGTCGCAATGTTACAGCATAAATTTCAACGTCATACACATTAGGAATACTAACAGTGTCATCAAGCCCCAACGCAGCGGACGTCGTTGTTTGGGTGTAGACAACTTTTTGTATTTTATCACACATGATGATATCGTATAATTCTTTGGGTAATTGATTCTGTCCAAATCTTAATATATCGAAAAGGAACACTTCTTTTTCGGTGCACATGTACACTAAACTCATCATCACGTCCCCTGGATTGTTGACAGGAATAACACTAATTATACGCGATTTTTTTAATATCTCAATTGCTTCCCTGTACACCTTCTTCATATCGGTAATGTATGCCAAAGGAAAACATTCGTCTTTCGTTGGGTCCGAACTCATTTTCTAGCGATTATTTCGAATGAAATCAAACAAACAATTTACTACTTATTGCAAACGTGCTTCTAGTAAAACGGAGCATGCGCTGTACTGATGGGAATGAAATTTGATCCATATGGTGGCGGGACTTTTAATAATCCATTTTATTTCGGATTTTGTTATTGATATTGTTTAAAAAGTATTATAATAGGTAAATTTAGTCACACATGGAAATTTAATGAATAATATTGATAAAGCGAGAAACGTGACTTTTTAATCTGCTGATAATTACAAAATTTAGAAAATTCGAATTTATGTGAATCAACTGAATGGAAAAGTTCGATCAGAGTTCAAAAAAATTAACCACGCATGGTACGATTCGGTTATTAGTCACACACGCTATAAAAGCACAATGCTCATTTCCCTTTGACCATTCGCGAAGTAATTGTTGAAAAAGTTGTTTGATTAATAGTGAATTAAATTTATTTTTAATCATTATCAACTAAGATCGTATTATTCGTGTGAGTATTATTTTATAAATTTTTAACTACATTTTTTATTAAATTTTTAATTTCTTTTTTTAAATAGGAAAATTTGACCTCGATTCAACAACCATGGGTAACAATTTCGTGTTCATCCTCCTTTTATTCTTTTTAATGGCTCATGGTTATCACCACGTTTCCGAATATTCATCAAATATATCGTACGAGGATATTAATGATGGGGAATCGATAATTGAACGTTTCGTTCGCCGGGTTCGCTCCGTCCAAGAAGATTACACCAACGTCAAGACCATCAGAAAAGTACACGAAATTTATCCCGAACAAGAACGTTACAAAAGATCATCAGATTATTTCTCCAAAAGTAGAGAACCAATCTTAATTGATTCATTCTCAGCTGATGATATGGTGGAGGATCCAAATTTTAAAGATGCAAAATTAAAAGATACTATTTTAGAAGATTCGTCGTTAGATGATGAGTCATTAGAAGATGAGTTGGTAGCAGATGATACCATAGAAGATGCAAATTTGGAAGAATCAAATGTAAATATAGAAAAAGAAGATGCAATCTCAGAAGCTCGATTGATAGATGTTCCAAAAATGAATGTAACATTTTCGCAACTATTTGGAGATAAATTACTTAATTCTACAACGGCTGTTGATAAAACAACAAAAAAAACGGGAGAGTCGCTTGAATGCTGTGTTGGAGATGAGATCTTCCCTAATTCAACTGAAGCACCACTTGAGAATCGCGATAATTCTGATGCAATCAATCCTAGTGATCGTACATTAAAAATTAAAATCGTACTCCAACCTAAACAATCTAACCAATCCAACATCGAAGATTATTCTCCTCCAAGACGTTCGAGACAATTATTAATGGCGATTAAGTTTCCAGAAACTGAAGAAGCACCATCGATGATCGACATCCCAATTGGGTTGCCAATAAATCCAACTTTACCGGATGCCCAAACTAAAGAAGCGTTTCCATTTATTCAAATCGAGGAAATTCCAACACTTCCCGATCATGGTTTTTCCAATCCAGTTCCTGTAATAAGTTTGGCAATCGATCATTTTAACACCACCTCAATTAAAAATACTTCCAATATAAGCGAATCAATTAGTGAAGATAGCGATATAATTTCCGACAGTTTGAGTCATCCATTACAATTATTTGACCTGGATGTAAAGGCGAACCCAACAGATTCGTTAGAGCCCAAATCAAGAAAGAGGCATAATATTAACAATATGATACGTTTCAAAAGAAGTGTTTCTGATTCAACTCCTTCACCAGTTACAAATTATAAACCAACAATTGCGAGTAATTACACCCTTCTTGTTAATAATAATAATAACATTGAAAATGATTTACAGGAAAATAAATCAACTGAAAGTTATGTCATAGAAAGCATCGCAGGTCCAAGACAAGGTAATCTTTCTTTATCTACAATTACCCCTTCGATAGTTCTTTTCAAGTTTAAATTCGGAACCGCTTATCTACGACCTAATCCTCTTCTATCTCCCCAAAGTACTTATCCGGAAAAAGTTAGCACCGGCGTCAACGTGGAGGAAACCCAAAAGAATCCCGAAAGACGAATTTATGGTTACGTTGGCGTTTAAGGAGATAAATCTAACTTGAAGTTTCAGATTTAAACCTCGATGACGACTATGGCATGTTAATTCGTTTTTTTTGTATTTTTTTTTTTAATCTTGTATTATTTAAAAATAAATGTTTCAAATAGAAATCTAATTTCGTTGTATTAACCTTACTTGTTATCTCTCCCAACAGATGGCACAACATAAATTTGCGAGTACTGTTCAAGTCTAAATTTTAAACCGATAGATGGCGCTACAATCGCCGATAATACAAATTATTCTTTTTAAGGAATTAATATTTTTTAATATCGATTTTGAATTGTTACAAGTAGAGAGGACGTTCAAATTAATAAATAATTGATGAGGATGCAAAAGAGTCGTCGGAGGATTCAAAGGTGGAACGAAGAGGGTCGTAATTTTATTCTGTATCTGAAATAGTCGAGGAATACGGCGCGATGTATTTTATAATTTCCTCTGGGATCCAAAGGACTGGCGCCAGTAGACCCGTTTGCTCCAGGTGTCACTACTACTACACTTTTTAATCACATTCAGATAATTTATTATTCATTATTCCTTACTCTTTGTTCGGATTTTTACCTTTTTGTAGTAAATGCGTTTTTGAGAAAAGTTTCATTCTTTTTTCTAATTCTTTATTATTAAGATTTCTTTTTTATTATTTAACTTTATATACATATGTATAAACTAGCAACGTCAAATTCAACCTCTAACATGGTGCCATACTTAATGCAGCTATCTTTAGATTGATGGATACTTCTTGTATCTTACGTTGCCTTTTTCCATATACAATATAGTGTGTTAATTAATTTTGGAAGTATGCAACCAATATCACAGTACTGGTATTACAACACGCGATTTGCGTATTCAGATATATTCATTGTGATATTGGTTGCATACTTGCATGAGAAGGCATCTCCTCGTTGACAGTTAGCATCAGTAGTCATTGATAATTTTGATATAAATGTTTTAAAATTGAAACAAAGTTTTGTAAGTGAAATAGAAAATAATCATCAATAGCAAGTTCCTCATCCAATAAACGACATCTCAACCATCGATATTGAACAACTGGTAATTTAGAAGATCGTGCACGCCGAAGGCCAACAGGCAACAAAACGCGATTTCCAAGAGAATAATTTAAGCTAAACAAGCGCGAAAGAGATCGGCAGCGAGTTGAAAATCACGTCCGAAATCGGACATGTCGAAACGCGCGAAAATTATACATACGTTAAGGTTGAAAGTAAAGATTGGTTTTAAAATGCGCATGCGTTGAAAGGATGGATGGATGGATGGATAGACGGGTGAACGTGTGAAATGAAGAGACGAAGAGATTGCTGGGACGACGACGACGGTCGTTGTCTTTTAGCCGGAAGCGTGTCGCTTTGATGGCCAACACTTGAGCTAATGAGCGGAGAGATCCATACATTAAGATGTCGCAGGTATCACCGACTGTAACGTCACGGCGGTTGAGCCTCACACGGTCGCCCTCCCTTTCTTTCAACTTTCCCCCCGTTCACTTTACTCAGCGCATAAACATTCATTAGTCGCGTTATCATTTAATAATCTTACGTTCGCGACCCCCCTTCCTTTTACAACCCCGAGTTTATGGAAAAAAAGACGCCCGATAAATGCGACACCTTAATGGACCCGCCGAAGAAGTAGGTACCTATCTTTGACGTATATTTCAATTAGAAAAGCCCAATTAATTAGCACAAAAAAACTTCTTCTCCCTTAGGGGCAAATGGATTAACCTTGTTCCGTAGCGTTTTTATATCGATTACGATGGGGAAATGTGACGACAAATTATTTCAAAATAAACTTACAATGAAATGTTTTCATGAAAACATAAAAACATACCTTTATGACTCATGAAGGTTTGTGAACCATTTCGCGGGCGAATAGGTTCATAAATTCAAGGCCGCGATATATCACGACTAATAATGTATATATATAAACGCTGTTTTCATTTAATTACATTTTGTCTCATTTGTAACAACATGATTACATTAAGATAAATACATAAATTGGTTACAAAATAAATTTTATTTTTTTCTGCAGTTTCTACTTTATCTTTTCCATCCCTCTCCTCCTCCTTCCATCCCATCCAGTCTCTCATATCTGTTTGGCCACGTTGTTTTGCTCATTATTACTCATCCTCTTCTAAATTAGCATTAAATGATCTATATGTGGCAAGTATCCTGTTGTTTATATCTGGTTCCGGACTTCCATTAGAACAAATAATAGTTAAAGATCTAGTAACAAAAATGTAATAATGGCAGTAACGAGAATTATGCCAGAAATGTAACAAGTTTAGATGATATAGCAGAAAAAACTGCTCCTGGATTAAAAATTTCAATGTGTAAAAGGTGTTTTAGAAATTTTAACAACCCATTGCTGTTCAAAAGTACCAAGAAGGCATGGATGACCGCGGAACTCTTTAAGAGTTTTCAAAATTATATTACACAATTCGTAGGTGAGATATTTTCTGTTTACCTAAGAAAGCAATTCTCCTTGTGTATAACGCGCCGTCCCATCCACCAGCAACAGAACTGAAGACTAAAGATGGGATGATCTTTGTAAAATTCTTACCTCCTAATATTACGTCTTTAATACAACCCACGGACCAAAATATTTTAAGGCTCACCAAACTGTATTGCAGAAATAGTTTGCTCAGTTCTGTTGTATCAACGGAAGAAGGAATAGCTGCAGCACTCAGTAAGATTTCACTAAAAGCTGCAATTATACTTTTGCCTGCGACGTAGGAGAAACTTAGACGACTTGGAGAAACATCCTCTCAGATTTTAATCAACATAATGAGGATGCAGACGAAGATAACATTCCGCTAAGTATATTAAGAGAAAATTGAGATGTGAAATAGCTTTGGTCCTTAAAAACAAATATTTGCATAAATATATCAATTTATCGCAATAAGCGATATCTTCCAAGAGACCCAACTAATAACAGTGTATATGTAATTTGAAATAAATAATTATGGCCACCAAAAAAGTAATACTAAATGATGTGCTAATAAAACTGAGCGAATGAGCATATTTGAATTATGTAACGGATAGTCAGTTGCTACAAGGAAGGAAATAGACACAAAAAAGTGCAGCAAAAGATAGATGAAAGGCAGACTAGAGAAGAAAACAAACACGTATAGGTCTGTGGCAAGGTCACTGTAAAAGATCTGTGGTAGATTTTAGTACTATGGACTGGAACCATGAATGTAGAGTCCGACATTGATTGAGTGGGCAAGTCATGTGATGTTAAAAAGTGAAAGGCATCAGACAAATAAGCAGAAATGCGGGTATGGACAATTTTGTATAAAACGAAATGATCTACGACTCTGGCAAGTCATCACCTGCTGGTTGTTACGATATGGAGTAATGTGCTGAAACTTTCCTAAATCAAAAATGTACCGTATACAACTGTTCAATTTAGCACGAAGGGCTGCGGACAAATCGGAATACACATAATCGGCATAATCAATGTGTGGGAAAATGAGATAATAACAAAGATTACGACGTACAACAGGAGGAAGGTAGCAGCGAAGTTTTTTCAAAGTATGGAAACAGAAGTAAACTTGTAGCCGCCAAGACATCGCCGAATCCATTACCACACCAAGATTTTTGACCGTATTAGAAAACGGAATAACGGTGTCGCCAAGCCACAGTTGAAGGATAGTTAAGGAATTAAATTGTGCCAAATGCAATGGCTTGCGTTTTACCTGGATTCAGGTCAAGTCCATGACGTCTAGACTAGGCAAGTAAGCTAGAGAGATCGTTGTTAAGATGCAACAAAGCATCTGCATACAAATGATGAAATGATGAAATTTACTACTGGAAGTAGCTCCAGTAAGTTAATGCATAAGTGGTTAGCAAAATCATAAACCGCACATTTTAGGATAACTACACTGCTGCAGATGTGTAATTGAAGGAAAAGCAGTTATGATCAAAATTGCTAAAAAAATATTCATTAAAAAAATTACAGATTTTTTTTAAGTTTTAGGAATGTTCATGAATAACTGATTTAGGTTTAAGTAATAAAATAAATATGTCGATGTATATTTTTATTGTGATAATTGGTTGAATAAGTTGGTTGAGTAGTGATGTTAGGATAGGAGTAATTAAGAATTGATTTGACACTCGCACGTGTCTGAAGGGATAATTAGTTGGTGTAAATATTAACGTTAAAGCACGACGGATAAATAGGCTTGTAGGCGTAAAATAAAATTGTGCAGGAGGAGGTGGGAGGCGAGAGCGGTCGGGTTAAAAACGTCCGTTGTTTATATGTGGTATTTTAGCGTCGCTTCGTCAGTTTGTTTATGCGAGATCGCGAGCCAATGTCGCTAATGCTCCACGATGACACGTGCCTGCCGTTGTCCCATTAAATTACGCATATTTTTAGGCCTTTGTATACATACGCGTCAAATGTTTACGTTTGCTTCGTAGCTGTCAACCGCACTGTTTGCCATAAAATCGATCGGTTTATGCAATATTAATATTATCTTATTTTAACTCTGGCGGCGTTCTGGGTTCCAGGTACAACTCGGTATATAGAGAGACGAACGTCCCAGGACTTTGTTCAGGGCGAGTCGTTCTCGAGTTTTAAGTGTATATTTTCACTACGAATTCCCGGATACGCCTGTTCAAACAAAAATTTAAACGCGTCGCGTAGGTGACGTTTTCGAGAGAAATTCACTCGCGGGTATGCCTTTTTAAGGTTTAAGGCCAATTTCCTTCGCGTCTGGAGTTTAACATGCCAATTACATAAGGGGTGAGCACAATTTAGAAATCCCCTTAATAATTAATTACAGTTTGCGCTTAATCCCGCAAAACAAGCAAAGGGAAGGGGTCGTCGGTTATTTTGAACTTTGTCCCTCGAGAGGGGGTGACAAGATATTGCCCTGTCGCCTGTCGCCCGTCGTTTGTCGTCGACGTTTTGGTCACGTGGCCGTTAATCGTTCGGAAAATCGCAAACATTCAATTCTCGGTACACTCTATTCTCGTTTATTTCACCGACAAACGAGTTTTACCTCTCTTTTTCACTCCTT